TATATATATATATATATATATATATATATATTAATAAAAGCTATAATAGTATCTCAATGATACTACAACAACACTATGGTCTCTATCTTCTTGCATAGTAAATCAATTCATAACTCAAATCAATATTCCATGTCCATTTATTGATTTATTTAGTAAGTAATCTTATAATAAGCAGAATAATGTGCATTTTTACAAAATCAATCCTTTCATTTTGACTCGAGCGTTGTCTGTGTGTGTGTGAGAGCAGCAGTTGGAGATGGTGGAGCCGAGCGGTTGGATTCACATCCCTCTGTTGGATCTGGTGAACAATCCCATCAGGACCTTCATGATCCAGATCGCCGTGTTGGCCAACCACCAGAATGGGCGGGACACGCACATGCGGCAGATCAAAGTCTACACGCCCGTGGAGGAGAGCTCCATCGGCAAATTCCCACGATGCACCACTGTAGACTTCATGATGTACCGCACCATCAGATGACCCGAGCTTCTGCTCGAATGGACGGACTGAGGTGCAGACTTTGCCTTTCCGTAAGACTGTTCTAGAATTAAATGGTTTCAGATGGTTTAAAATGTGTTTTGTAAAGAGAACAGTTCAAAGTTCAGTTTATGTAAATGCAAATCTACAGGAAATAAATGTTTTGTTTTTTTTAAATGAAGAAATCCTGTCCTGTATCTCTTGATGCTGTATTACAGCAGGGTAGATCGGTTTAGCTTGCTTTATTCAGTTGTCATGGCAAGCGGATTGATCGCTCAATTGCACGCTCTTCTACGCTACTTTGCGGAAACATGGACAGGTTTTCATCAGTCCCAGGTTGCTACAAAGAGCCCTTTTGAGGAATAACAAGTTTGTGAGCTTAATGCCATACAGACATAAATATTCTTATTTAAACATCCAAACATATTCAATCAGGTAAGGAATAGAGATTTTATGCTTTTATTATCATTATTATAACATATTTGGGTTAAAAGTGTAGGATTTATAATGTACAATATGTCAAGTCTTGCATTTAGCGCTTGTAGTTCACATTTAAACATTCAAAATTTTAGTTTGGCAATTATTTGCATGCAAACATCAACAAGCATATTTAGATGATCCATCAGGTAAGAACATCCATCTGCATTTATTATCCTTATTAATTGAATAACATTTTTGGGTTCAAAGTGTAAGATTTATAATGTAAGATGTAGTGCTTGTAGTTAACATTTAAACATTCACACAAATCTAATAGAGATGTAGTTTTATTATCGTTATTAATAAAATAATATTTTGGGTTAAAAGTGTAGAATTTATAACGAGGTAGGGCTGGGTTTTGACACAAATTTCACGATTTGATTCGATTCTCATTCACAAGCTTACGATTCGATTCGATTACCGATTCGATTCAATATCGATTATTTTGGATATATATCAGGTACAGTACATGCCAAATTTTCTCGAGGAAAAAAAACTCTCAACTAATGCTGTAAAATATACATGAGAGTCAGTTGGTACTACTGTACATTATAATATTAAAGGTTAAAATTGACTGATTTGTGCTGTACAACTACTTAAATTGCACTTAATTACATTTTTATTATAATTAAGGATTGAACTGAGGCGTTACAGCGATCTGTCACTCCACATTAAACAGCGCCAAAACGGCATTTATTGTTTGAATACTGCAATACAATGGACAGATTCTGAAATCTGAGACTTTGTTTCATATTAAAAGTACCAACACACAATACGTATTGTGATTTATTGGATGGGAGGTGCGCTTCAATGTTCCATCCATTCACTGAAAACAGGCTAGACTAATCGATTCTTGGGATTTAGGAATTGATATCGTTTCGTAAAAAATCGAGATATCGATATTTTTTACCCAGCCCTAATAAGACGTACTTGTAGTTCACATCTAAATGTTCAAACAAATATATCAGGTAAGGAAAAGAGATCTAGTTTTATTATCATTATGACATTTTTGGGTTAAACGTGTAGTATTTATACTGTATGATATGGCACTTCTTGCATTTAGTACTTGTAGTTCACATTTAAATGTTAAGGTACGCATTCAAAACTTTAGTTTGAGACACTAAGCAGCATGCAAATATTGACAAGCATATTTAGATAATCTATCAGGTAAGGAATAGAGATCTAGTTATATGATCATTATTAATGAAATAACATTTTTGGGTTAAAAATGTAGGATTTATAATGCATAATATGGCACTTCTTGCGTTCAGTATTTGTAGGTCACATTTAAACATTCAAATGCATTCAAAAGTTTAGTTTGAGACACTTAGTAGTGCGTAAATATCGACAAGCATATAAAGACTGTATTAGGTAAGGAATATAGATCTCCTTTTATTATGATTATTAATTGAATACCATTGTTGGGTTCAAAGTGTAGGAGTTATAATGTGAGATGTACTACTTGTAGTTCACACATTCAAACAGTTCAAGCCGGTAAGAAATGGATATCTAGTCTTACTATCATTATTAATGGAATAACACTTTTGAGTTAAAAGTATAGGATTTATAATGTAAGATGTAGTACTTGTAGCTCACATTTTAACATTCAAACATGCATGAAAAAGTTTAGTTTGAGACACTTATTAGCATGTAAATATCGACAAGCATATTTAGACAAGTTATCAGATATGTCTGCTGTGCCTTTTTTTTTCATTTTTGTTTTATCTGCTGTGCCATTTTTTAATGATCTACAAATTCGCTGATTTTTATTTATTTATTTATTTTTGCATTGTTTCATTGCCTTTAAATGTCACCAATTGTTTTTTTTTAGTTGGGCTTTACTTGTCAGTCAATCAGTCTTTTGTGTAAGTGCAAACTTCATGCTCAAACTTGGATAAAAAGGTCAGATCAGTACACAGTTGTCCACCAGGGGTTGCTATTTCGCAAGATTAATGCACACTACAGTTTAAAAAAAAACTAGTAGCCTACCTACTTGGATCTCAGCATGCATTTTTTGAGTTTTTGTAAAATAATCCATGTCAATGAAACATAGGTCAAATCTTGCTAAATGTCTTGTTTCTTTGTATTAGTGATTTAATTCTAAATCTAATCATGCTTGTTATGCAACTATATTGGCACCCCATCATTTTAAAAATATAGAAACAAACTACAGTCTGTTTGTTTCAGCCCCCAATAATTTAAACGTGCATTCAAAAACTTAGTTTGAGACACTTAGTAGCACATATATATGGTAAATCATATTAAGACTATTCATCAGGAAAGGAATGGAGATCTGTTTTTATTATCATTATTAATGGAATAACACATTTGGCTCAAAGGTATAGTATTTATAATCTAATATGATGTCACGTCTTGCATTTCGTGCTTGTAGTTCCACTTGAACTTCCTCTGAATGGTTAGAAAAGGTGCATGTTTGCATGTGTGTCTCTGTGCTGCTGGCATCCTGTTCTGTCCCCGCTGTGGTTTGCATGATTCAAAGGCAATGATGACGACGTGTCAGAGAGCAGAAAACTCAGTTTAGGTGGAGCTGGACTGTTACTATCAACTAAAGTAGACCGGACTGAAAGATGCGCACTTACTGTGTACTTCCACACATTTTTGGTGAGTTACTTTACATTCTTTTACCAGATGTTGCAAAAGGTTTTTTTGGGAGTAGCCTATGAGCAAGGCTTGTGTGAACTAATATTTAACAATGTTTATCCAGTCTGAAAATGTAAATCTGGAAAAATAAACAAAAAACAGCGTCTATTAAAACTTAAAATCTGTTAAATAGAAAAATACCAAATAATTTTTTTGTTGTTGTTGTATTTATTGGCTTTGTGCATTCAAAAATTGAAAAATATCTTCCTATCCACACTGTGACTGTCTTTTCCCATAAAAACTGAGATCTCTTTAATATCAATTGTTTCCCCTTGATAGCAGTAAGATTAAATAAAGAGCAAATGCTGCTCAGGTGTTTCTCTTGAGGAAAAAAATCACGTCTCTTCTAGATCTCGACAATGTGCTCACATTTGCAATCTGGAGGCAGATTTTTGAGATATTAATTCAATATGAACGATTTCTCATCAAATTCGATTGAATGATATTCGCATTCATTTTATAGCTCTATAATCTTATTTGTCTATCATCTGTGTCTGTTTTTATTTTTCCTAATGGTTGTTGAAATGTCATAAATGCTGAATTTAATATATATAGGCACACTTTATTTTAATGTCCAATTCTCACTATAAACTACGACTTTTGCCTTAATAAACTCCTAATTGGCTGCTTATTAATATTTAAAGGGTAGTTGTTAAGTTAAGGTATTGAGTAGGTTTATATGCTTATGCAGAGTAAGGCATTAATATGTTCTTTATAAGTACAGACAATATGCTAGTAACATACATGCATGCTGTTTCTTTTGTTATTAATGCTTTGTCCTGTTTTATTATATTTTCAGCTGCTCTTCTCTTGTGCGATTATGGGATGTTCTCCATGCCATCACCATCTCCTTCAGGGATGCCCACCAATGCAATATCGAACATATCCGACTCTAACACTACTGTGACGACAGCAAAATCAGTAACAGTCGGGAATGGCTCGAGCACGTTAGAATCTGGCTTAGGGAAAAATCAGTCAAATGATTTAAATGGTATGGCTGAGAGCAGTAGAGACGATTTTGAGACTGAATCTGAAAGGGTGAACGGAAGCACCAGCAGAGTGATCTCTTCAACAGCACGTCCAGAGAGCACCACAAGCAACGTGAAGCACCATACTACTCAAGAAAAAAAAGGTTGGAGGATTTCTAATGATCTGTTCGGTGGTTCTGGGCAATGGAAGCTGTTGTCTCTTTACTATAGTATTTTAAGACTGTGTGTCTGAATGCCCGTTATTACTTTCTACAATCTGTCGTTTATCTGTGTTGTAAAGGCCGTTGAGCTTTCTGCAGAGTCTGAGCGCTAAACCAGCAGTCTAGATAGTGGTTCGAAGGGCTCATATTGGCAGAATTCAAATTTTTCTATTATAGTTTACATGCATTACATGCAATATTTCCCCAGTTTAAAAAGGTCTTTTTATTGAAGCTTCAAAAACGACTCGCTTTCAACTTTCTGACATTAAACAGATGAACACACCATACTGGTCCAAAGTTTAGAATAATTGTGAACTACGGCTCTGTGTATTAAATGCCGCTCCATCTGAAAGCAGGTGATGGAGATTTACTACTAATCATGGAACCGGCTTTACTGATGAGATGCGCTTGAAAATAGTCTCTTCTACTCACCAAGGCTTCATTTATTTGATCAAAAATACAGGAAAAACAGTAAAATTGTGAAATATTATTTCTATTTAAAATAACGGTTTTCTATGTGAATATATGTTAAAATGTAATTTATTGCTGTGATGCGCAGCTGAATTTTCAGCATCATTACTCCAGTCTTCAGTGTCACATGATCCTTCAGAAGTCATTCTAATATGCTGATTTGCTGCTCAAGAAACATTTACAGTATTTTTGTGGAAACAGTGATGCATTTTATTTTTCAGGATTCACTTTTTTTTTTCACTTTTGATCAATTTAATGTGTCCTTGCTAAATAAAAGTATTAATTTCTTGATGCTGAATTAACACTGGAGTAATGATGCTGAAAATTCAGCTTTGATCACAGCAATAAGTCACTTTTTAACATATACACTCTTAAAAATAAAGGTGCTTCACGATGCCATAGAAGAACCTTTTTGTCTAAACGGTTCCATAAAGAACCTTTAACATCTGAAGAACCTTTCTGTTTCACAAAAGCTTCTTTGTGGCGAAAGAAGGTTCTTCAGATTATAAAAAGATAAGAAAGAGATGGTTCTTTAAAGAACCTTTGACTGAATGGTTCTTTGTGGAACCAAAAATAGTATCGCTGTGAAGCACCTTTATTTTTAAGAGTGTATTCACATAGAAAACTGTTATTTTAAATTGTAATAATATTTCACAACATTACAGTTTTTATATATTTGATCAAATAAATGCAGCCTAGATGTGCAGAAGAAACAGTTCAAAGACATTTTACAGTATTCCATACTTTTAATCCATAGTGTACATATCCATGATTTGTGATAAAGTCTGTAAAATATTTCTTTAACTAAAAAAACCCCACTATAAATAATAAAAAGCCAGTTTTGTTGCAAAAAATTGATAATTTTAAATGCATACAGTAGTAACTAAAACACAAGATGTTTCTGACAAGTTGAGAAAATGGCAGCGCTGACAGTGTAAAGTGTGCTTTCAGAGCAGCTCTGAGATCTGAGCGGTTAAAGTGTGAGTGGGTGCGAGATTCGGCGTGTTTCTTGCTTTCTGAATGCAGACCTACCACAGCAGCCAAATCTCTCTCTCTGTTCTATTTGAATGCACTTTGTGTGTGATTACAGCAGCGTGTTAGACTCACACCAAAGCTCTATTTTAAAAATGATTTCTTCATAACTGCGTGCTCTCAAAAGCAGATGTTTATTATTATTGTTTCTCAGTGTATCTGGGCTGTTTGTTGGTTTGTTGTAATGTGATCGTTGCTCTGTTTCAGATTCAGCATCAGATACAGGAGGTGAGCTTGACTCTCTGCACATCACAGCATCTGCTTTGTGGAAGATGAGAAACATCCTTTCTTCCTGCCTTACCAGGCTTCATTAATTTGATCAAAAACACAGTAAAAACAACAGCATTTATTTGAAATGGAATAGTTTCTGTAACGTTATAAATTTCTTCACTGTCACATTTGATCAACCTGTTAATTAATTTATTAATTAACCTATTAAACCAATTAATTAACCTATTCCCATTATAAACTGAGAACCACAACAACAGATCTCTGTGTGTTTTTGACAGCTATCATCATTTTGATCATCATCCTGATCCTGATTGGTTTTCTGCTTGGCATTTTGTATTGTCTGAGAAAGAAAGGAAGGGTAAGATTTGATACGTTATTTCATTTTGTACATTTAGGATCTGTTACAAACCCTAGTGAGCTGTTTGCCATGCTGTCTTCTGGCTACATAGACGACTCTCTTCTAAGGTAGTTAGTTAAATCTCATAAGAATTAACTTCTTGCCATTGGTAGGGTAAATTTCCTTCATTTAAATTATTTTTATTGATATTGAATCAATTAAATCACATACATCAAAGAGGGTCACACTGTCATTTACTGGCATTTTGAATTTTTACCATTTTGAATTGAATCCCGTATTGCATTTTATTCAATAAAAATTTTAATAAATAAAATTTAAAAAATAGTTCATTTTAATATTATTTATTATTATTTTTATAATTGATTCACTAATCCACTTCCATTAAATAGGGTCACATTATAATTTCTTGTTGATCATCATCCTGATCCTGATTGGTTTTCTGCTTGGCATTTTGTATTGTCTGAGAAAGAAAGGAAGGGTAAGATTTGATACGTTATTTCATTTTGTACATTTAGGATCTGTTACAAACCCTAGTGAGCTGTTTGCCATGCTGTCTTCTGGCTACATAGACGACTCTCTTCTAAGGTAGTTAGTTAAATCTCATAAGAATTAACTTCTTGCCATTGGTAGGGTAAATTTCCTTCATTTAAATTATTTTTATTGATATTGAATCAATTAAATCACATACATCAAAGAGGGTCACACTGTCATTTACTGGCATTTTGAATTTTTACCATTTTGAATTGAATCCCGTATTGCATTTTATTCAATAAAAATTTTAATAAATAAAATTTAAAAAATAGTTCATTTTAATATTATTTATTATTATTTTTATAATTGATTCACTAATCCACTTCCATTAAATAGGGTCACATTATAATTTCTTGTTGTTTTAAAATTCTATTTTTATCAAATAAAAATGTTAATAAATACATTTACATTTTTTTTCCCATTTATTTACCCACCTACTTTTCACATGCTTTAAATACTCTTTAGGTAATATTAATTATTATTATTATTGAATTGCTTAAACCACTTACATCAAAGAGAGTCACATGGTCATTTCTTGCAGTTTTGAATTTGTACATTTTTATTGTATCCTGTATCACACTTTATAAAAGAAAAAAAATTAAAGGAATTACGAAATTAAAAAAACATTTAAAATACTTGCACATATATTTTTTGGGGAATTTTCCATACATTCTCTCTCTGTCTCACACACACTAATGTGATCTACTGTATTCTAATTGCATAATTCTTGCATTGTGATTGTAGAGTTACTCATTTGATCTGACTCGTGTCGACGTAGTTGCCAATGATTACGTTGACACCCCGCTAAGGAGCGACCAACAAGGCATAAGCTATGAACAAACTAACAAAGGCAAGTGTGAATGCAAAATTAGTTACGCACCTGGATATGAACTTTCTTGATTTAACTGTGTGCAGTCTGGTCAGAAACCTGCAAATCTACCTGTAAATTTGGCTTAATCTCTCTTTATGTCTTCCTGCTCAGATCTGCCTGTGTGTTTGGACTATGTACAAGAGGACACGTCAGAGGAGAAGACTAATCCCAAAGAAAATGGGTCTGCAGAAGAGAAAACTGAACAAACACCCACCAATGAAAATGGTAAAGCATTTTCCAAACAGCAGCATTTGTACATTGTTTTGGCAGCATTGCATCTGTCATTTCAAGCAAGCTCTATAGGCTTATAATTTAAACCCTTCTCTTGATGGTTGCTTTTTCCAATCTGTAATATCTTCAGGGACATGAATGAGTTGTAAAAGTTCACTTTGTTGTGTTCAATAGTGATGATAATCTTCCCGTCTATTATCTTAAAGATTATCAGAATGTTCCAGAAGAGAACAGTTTCTCTTCAAACTCGAGCTTGGCTGCACCCATGAAGAACGAGGAGTTTAACCTATACCTAAATCTGCTTGGAGGTGAATCTGACTTAAACGATTCGACCGAAGCTGAAGCCACCGATACGGCGCAAAATGAAAACAACAATAATGTCAGTAATGCTGGTCAGTATAACCAAAAAATTTACCAACGTGCCTGTAGAATGATTTTTGGCCTTTTTATGTTTAAAAAATTACAAAAATTAGGTCTATGCATGGGTAATGTTGTAAGTTTACAGTGTCACTATGTTTTTCTGTATTACAGGGCGGGGAACAGCAGAAGAGATCTTCACTGAAATCAGTCTAGACGAGCCAAAGGAACGTGCATAGTGTGTGTTTCCAATGCAACAGTCAAGATCTCGGGTGTTTGGTACCTAGATTCAAACTATATCTGTTAGAGATGCCTTGATCCGGACTATATGAGTGCAAAAGCATCCTTTTGCCATTCTCACTTCAAGTTCTGTTTCATCTACTGTTAAAGGAGATTGTATACTGTTCATAAAAAAAAGAACATTGAATCATTGGTTGAAGTTTATGTAAAAATTGTTAGTATACAAATGCTGTATAAAATAATTTGTGGCTATAATAAACATTCACTGTAGAATGCACTGTGTAATGCAATGCACTTGTGTGTGTGTGTGTGTGTGTTTGACTGATGCCTGAAGCTTCTTCATTAACATTCATTTGAAAGTTTCCTTATATCCCTTTAAACATTTGTTCAGCTGAAGGTGATGGGCACAATGGGGAAAGACACAGAGAAAGAGCTTAAATACTCCTCGTCTTCCTCAGTTTAGAGAGAAAATGGTCATATAATTTGCTAAACAGTATATCCACCATGCTTTGCTTCTGTTTGCCACATACTGGAAGCCTGCCTTCCAGTCAACAAATCCCAAACTTAATGCTGAATCTGTCGTGCAGGTTAATCATAAGGTTGTTGTGCCTCTGGACCCTCTAAACCAAGCTCTTTTGCCTGGGGATCGGTGCCACTTTAGTGTTCTTGACCAAGAACCACTGGCTCAAAGGTTCGGTGCCGAAACGCCAAATAAATTTTCTTGTTCATTTCAGAAAGGCAAAGTGGAATATGCGCATTTTGGATCCCTAGTTGCTGGAACAGATCAGGTTAGGTTGCAGCTACGCTATGACACCCAAACAGACACCATCATTGTCCCAATCGCATTGCAAATAGTTTTGGCGTCGAACACACACGCTGTGATCCTCAACCATCCCCTATTGGTCGATAAATGAACCAGCTACAGTAACCCCATAACCAGTGTTGGGGGTAACGCATTGCAAGTAACGCAAGTTATGTGATCAGATTACTTTTTCAAGTAACTGGTAAAGCAATGCATTATATTTAATTTACAAGAAAGCATATGAGTTACTTTTTCAAACAAGTAACACCAGTTACTTTATTTTCCCATTAATTGACTGACAGCTCTCCTGTCCCCATGTTGAGAGAAATCAGGAGTAAGTGCAGAGGCGCTGTGTGAACAAGATGTTACTGCAGTTCTAGACTAAATGTGAACATACATTTAACTCATCTCACCTGCACACAAACAGATTCAGTATTCGTCAAAATTAATAAAAACAGTGAAAAGCAGAATATTACGCAACTCTGCAATAATTAAATGTTAACACAAATATCCTTTATGTATTTAATCCCATTTTATTAACCAGTGTCTTTGCTGCTGACCTTCAATGATCCAATTCAACCATACTAATAAGCAAAAATGACTTTAGATAAACATTAAATTTGTGTTTCATTTTCTTGTGATTGAGAAGAAAGTGTTGAACTTCCTTCCCTTATGTCCTATTCTTCATGCAATCCAGAAACAAAAATAACAATTATTCAACAATTCTTCTCTTATGAGAGTGCCACGACACTGATAAGCTACTACTAAATATTGTAGAAACGTAATTTTCTGTAAAGTTGCTTTGCAACGATTTGTATCGTGAAAAGCGCTGTACAAATAAACTGGAACTGAATTGAATTGAACATGCATGTGCATTCTTTGGCTCGTAAACAAGGCGCAGCACAAGCATCGTGCTACTCTCGATAATGGCGGCCGATAGTGATGCAGAGAGAAGAATTGTTGAATAAAGTCGTTATTTTTGTTTTCTTTGCACACAAAAAGTATTCGTAAAGCTTCATAAAATTATGGTTGAACCACTGATGTCACATAGACTATTTTACCAATGTCCTTATACGTTTCTGGGTCTGGGAACATTTCAGTTATATTGCTGTCTGTGCAGGGTCAGAAAGCTCTCTGATTTCATCAAAAATATCTTAATTTGTGAAGATGAACGAAGGTTTTACAGGTTTGTAACGACATGAGGGTCAGTAATTAATGACAGAATTTTCATTTTTGGGTGAACTATCCCTTGAAAGCGCGTATCACGAATCATTTGATTTAGATCGGAACTTGTTCACGAAACTTGATTCAGATCGGGACTTCGGAGCACGGATCGGGAATCATTTGATTTAGATCGGAACTTGTTCACGAAACTTGATTCAGATCGGGACTTCGGAGCACGGATCGGGAATCATTTGATTTAGATCGGAACTTGTTCACGAAACTTGATTCAGATCGGGACTTCGGAGCACGGATCGGGAATCATTTGATTTAGATCGGAACTTGTTCACGAAACTTGATTCAGATTGGGACTTCGGAGCACGGATCGCGAATCATTTGATTTATCGGAAGTTGTTCACAAAACTTGATTCAGATCGGGACTTCGGAGCACGGATTGCGAATCATTTGATTTAGATCGGAACTTGTTCACGAAACTTGATTCAGATTGGGACTTCGGAGCACGGATCGCGAATCATTTGATTTATCGGAAGTTGTTCACAAAACTTGATTCAGATCGGGACTTCGGAGCACGGATTGCGAATCATTTGATTTAGATCGGAACTTGTTCACGAAACTTGATTCAGATCGGGACTACGGAGCACGGATCGTGAATCTTTTTATTTAGATCAGAACTTTGGAGCGGGTTCGCAAATCATTTTAATGTTAAGGTTAATTTCCTAAAGTCTACATATTAGTACCTAAAAGGTACAAAAGTGTACCTTTTGAAAAGGTACCGCCCCAGTGACAGCTTTTGAACCTTTTTTTCTGAGAGTGTAAGGAGCCTTATTTTCTCTTTAGAAAAGTGGATTTATATCAATGTTCTTTTGATTTTGGATAACTGAGAAACTATTTTTGTACTTTAGTTAGTTAAGGTTGTATGAGTATGAGAAGAAGGAAATGTTTTGATTGGTGCTCGCTGCTCAGCTTTCCAATTGGCCAAGCAGCAAGGTGTGCACAAAATGAGACACTGAAGATTACTCACCCAAAAGACATACATTTTACATACACTCTGTAAAATGGTGATTTTATGTGGGTTTGTGTCCTAGTTGGTGATGCCGCCCTGACCACTGGATTTATTTTTAACTAGTTCTCTTACACTCACCATTTGTCTTTCATTCATGCGCACCAGAACTTTGAAGAATTGTTGTACCTGTGTGTAAATGTCAATGCAATCTGTTGTGGATTCCCCGCTGTGCATGAGGGACTGATCTTTAACAACACACTCCTGAAATGACAATGACATTGTGAAGGATGTCTAAATATAGCTGAGGAAACTCCCCTGTCTGAAGGGGCCGCCAAACACGTTTAAGAGAGCGCTATAACAGGACAGATTTTCCTCTGAATAAACTACCTGAAGTTCAGTGGTCTTGAATGTTTACATCAAAGAAACAGAGAGGAAATGACACTTCATCAAAACCCTCTTAGTGTGGTCAGAATGGAAATAGTGTGAGACAGCGCTCTCTGCTGGAGATAATGAACTGCACTAGATGGATAGATAGATAGATGCTGTTCCTTTGAACTTTTTATTCTTCAAAGAATCCTGAAAACAAACTGTATGACGGTTTCCACAAAAATAGTTGGCAGCGCAACTGTTTTCAACATTGATAATAATCAGAAATGTTTCTTGAGCAGCAAATCAGCATATTAGAATGATTTCTGAAGATCATGTGACACTGAAGACTGGCGTAATGATGCTGAAAATTCAGATTTGATCACAGAAATAAATTACAGTTTACAATATATTCACATAGAAAATTGTTATTTTAATTTGTAATAATATTTCACTATTTTGACTATATTTTTAATTAATTAAATAAATAATCCAACTATGCAATTTTTTCGAATGTACTAAAGTTAATGCTGTCAAACGATTAATCGTGATTAATCGCATCCAAAATAAAAGTTTTTGTGTACATAATATGTAAAGTGTGTGTACTGTGTATATTTATTAGTATGTATAAATACACACACATACATGTATATATTAAAAAATATTTACATATAATTATATTAATATATAATTTATATCATACATAAATACAAATATTTTACATATAAACATTTTTCTGACATATATACACATGCATGTGTTTGTATTTATATGCATAATAAATATACAAAGTACACACATATTATGTACACAAAAACTTTTATTTTGGATGCGATTAATTGTTTGACAGCAGTACTTAAATGCATTTATTAAAGAAAAGACATGCAGATCACAGAAAAGACTTTATTTTATTTTAAACTTAAAATGATTTAATATTATTTTTTTTGCCTTATTTTCTCCTTTAGCAGATGTTGAAATGTTTGTTCAATTTTGGTCCACCAATAAACTAATATCTTTACTCGTATGCATTCATGCATTACTTGCATTAATAGCTTTACTTCGCTCTTAATTTGATAAACACCTTTTAAGTATGGAATTATTTTATTTCCAGGTGACCGCAGGTCGACAGTTTTATTTATGTGTTTTACACTTTGTACTCCAGCGGGAAAAAAGGACACCGGTGTGTTCAGGAAATATACTTATAATATACTTCACAGTATATCCTCGTCTACTTCACATAGAGTTATTTTTCTTCCTCAGCAGACAGCACAGGACAGAACAGACCGATGGAAACACATCAACACCACACACTCACTCTAATACAATATTGAATCTAACAAATGTACAGTCAAGTTAATAACGTGAGAAAATATCTTATTTGAACGGTTTCGTAGCTAACTTTCACTAACAAAGCGTGTAGGCTATTTCACGACGCTCCCTTACGCGTGTCGCGCATGCGCAGATCATCGCTCCGCCGCTAGCGGTCGCTGTTTCGCTCTAAATCATGGGGTAATTTTCATTTTTGGGTGAACTATCCCTTTACGGGTGTCGCGCATGCGCAGATCATCGCTCTGCCGCTAGTGGCCGCTGTTTCGCGCTCCGTTTTTGCCACAGCAGCCGAAGGCCGAAAATATCAGACACCATGGCTCTGTCGCTGCGCGTCTGCTCGCGTTTTTACCGAACCAACGCGCCTCTCGCACAGGCAACAGGCTCTAGAGGTTATTAATCACAAAACTCGGTCTTTCAAGTTGAGTGTTTTGACCATGAGTGTCGGCGATTGCGCCGCGTAACGCGCTCGACACGCACAAAGGCGGATATTATGGAATAAACGCGCGTCGCACGGCCGCTAGACTCACCATAATAATAACAATTACACTGCTATGGCACTCTCGGTGATCCAGACGTGTCGTAGTCTGGCCCTGTCCACCTGGCTGCTGTCCTTCTGCTTCGTCCATCTGCTGTGTTTGGACTTCACGGTGGCGGAGAAGGAGGAATGGTACACGGCGTTCGTTAACATCACGTACGTGGATCCGGTCACGGCCGAGGTCCGCACCGAGAAGACGGAGTGCGGGCGTTACGGAGAGCACTCGCTCAAACGCGAGGCCAGAGGCGTGCTGGCGATGCCCGCCGCGCCGCAGGACAGACACGCGTGCGATCCCAACAGCAGGTTCACGCCGCGCGGATACGGCGCGTGGATCGCGCTCATCAGCCGCGGGAACTGCACGTACAGAGACAAGATCCGAAACGCCGTGGGGAAAAACGCGTCAGCTGTGGTCATATTCAACGTGGGTTCCTCCAACCCCAACGAGACCATCACCATGTCTGACCCAGGTGATGCTCTTGATCAATGCATCATGTGTGGTTATGATAGATGATGACTGCGTGGCGGGTTATGTGTGATTACATTACATTACATTAAACCAACAAAAGAGCAATGATATGCAAGTGCTATAACAAGTCTCAGTTAGTCTAACACAGAACACGTAGCAAGGTTTTTTATATATAATTATAGAAAACAAATAGATAGAATAGAGAAAACTAGTTAAAGGCTTTTTAAAAAAGAAAACAAGCAGTTAGAAAACAAATAGAGTGCAAGTCTACACACTCACTCTAATACAATATTGAATCTAACAAATGTACAGTCAAGTTAATAACGTGAGAAAATATCTTATTTGAACGGTTTCGTAGCTAACTTTCACTAACAAAGCGTGTAGGCTATTTCACGACGCTCCCTTACGCGTGTCGCGCATGCGCAGATCATCGCTCCGCCGCTAGCGGTCGCTGTTTCGCTCGCGCTCGGTCCGTTATTATTGTCACAGCAGCCGAAGGCCGAAAACATCCGACACCATGCCTCCGTCGCGTCGCTTCTGCGCGCGTTTCCCCCGAACCAACGCGCCTCTCGCACAGGCAACAGGCTCGAGAGGCTATTAACCACAAAACTCGGTCTTTTACGTCGAGTGTTTTATACGGTTTGACCATGAGTGTCGGTTACTGCGCCGCGTAACGCGCTCTAGACGGAGATTATGGAGTAAACGGGCGTCGCGCGGCCGCTAGATTCTTCATAACAGTAACAATAACACTATTATGGCACTCTCGGTGATCCAGGCGTGTCGTAGTCTGGCCCTGTCCACCTGGCTGCTGTCCTTCTGCTTCGTCCATCTGCTGTGTTTGGACTTCACGGTGGCGGAGAAGGAGGAATGGTACACGGCGTTCGTTAACATCACGTACGTGGATCCGGTCACGGCCGAGGTCCGCACCGAGAAGACGGAGTGCGGGCGTTACGGAGAGCACTCGCTCAAACGCGAGGCCAGAGGCGTGCTGGCGATGCCCGCCGCGCCGCAGGACAGACACGCGTGCGATCCCAACAGCAGGTTCACGCCGCGCGGATACGGCGCGTGGATCGCGCTCATCAGCCGCGGGAACTGCACGTACAGAGACAAGATCCGAAACGCCGTGGGGAAAAACGCGTCAGCTGTGGTCATATTCAACGTGGGTTCCTCCAACCCCAACGAGACCATCACCATGTCTGACCCAGGTGATGCTCTTGATCAATGCATCATGTGTGGTTATGATAGATGATGACTGCGTGGCGGGTTATGTGTGATTACATTACATTACATTAAACCAACAAAAGAGCAATGATATGCAAGTGCTATAACAAGTCTCAGTTAGTCTAACACAGAACACGTAGCAAGGTTTTTTATATATAATTATAGAAAACAAATAGATAGAATAGAGAAAACTAGTTAAAGGCTTTTTAAAAAAGAAAACAAGCAGTTAGAAAACAAATAGAGTGCAAGTCTTAAAGGGTAAAGTGTTTTTTAATAAAAAAACGAAAACCGATAGAATAGAGAAAGCTAGTGTTAGAGGCCTTTTTTAAAAAGAAAACAGTTAGAAAACGAATAGCTTTTTGTTAATTATGTAATAAATTAAAAGAAAACAAATAGAATAGAAAAATAATAGAGAAAGCTAGTGTTAGAGGCCTTTTTAAAGAAAACAAGCAGTTAGCAAACAAATAGTTTTTTGTTAATTATATTAAATAAAAAGAAAACAAACAGAATAGAAAAAGAATGGGGAAAGCTAGTGTTAGATGCTTTTTTTTCAAGAAAACAAGCAGTTAGAAAACAAATAGAGTGCAAGTCTTAAAGGGTAAAGTGTTGTTGTTGTTTTTAAATAAAAAAGAAAACATATAGATAAAACCGAATTAGAATAGTGCTAGAATTAGAGGGTCAAATAAAGATGGGAGAGATGTGTTTTTAGCCGTTTAGTTGGGCAGGTCATTCCACCAGGAGGGAACAGTTAATGTAAAATCAGTGAAAGTGATTTTGTGCCTCTTTGGGATGGCACAGTAAAGTTCACTTGCAGAACGCAAGCTTCTAGAGGGCACGTAAGTCTGAAGTAATGAATTTAGGTAAAGGGGTGTAGAGCCAGCGGTGGTTACAAATCCATATTTGGTTATGGATTGATGGTAAATTCATAGATGCATGTCTGGCTAAATGTGATGGTCAGTGCATATGTGTTGATAAATACGTTCATCATCTGTCAACTAGATATGCATGTCTGGTTATGTGTTATTATAAGTCCATAAAAGGTCACGAGTGATGGCTGATGCGCTTTGGTAAATGCATATGAGATGCATAATTGCATAATCTAGCATGTGTGATGGTTTATACATAAATGCAACTTGTGTAATTGATTGTGTTTTGGTAAATGTGTGATTATAAATGCATGTCTGGTTTAAAGGAGTAGTTCAGCCAAATGAAAATTTGCTGAAAATGTGCTCACCCTCAGTCCATCCGAGATGTAGATGAGTTTGTTTCTTCATCAGATTTGGAGAAATGTAGCATTACATCGCTTGCTCAGCAATGGATGCTCTGCAGTGAATGGGTGCCGTCAGAATGAGAGTCCAAACAGCTGATGAAAACATCACAAGTAATCCACACACCACTCCAGTCAATCAGTTAACATCTGGAGAAGACAAAAGCTGCATGTTTGTAAGAAACAAATCCATCATTATGGCATTATTTAAACCTTTGCTTCCGGCTAAAATACGAGTCCATGATCCATAATAATGCTTCCTCCAGTGAAAAAGTAAATTTTCTTTTGTCCTCTCACATCAAAATCCACAGACGTATTTGTTTAGAGCTGTTTTGGCTTGTAAACAGTGCTTGGTCTGTGCAGATTTCTCTCCTGATTCAGACCAGACCACTTTTTGACTGGAGAATGCGTTATTATGGATCATGGACTCATATTTTGGCCAGAAGCAACAGTTTGAAGTTAAAACATTTTGATTGATTTGTTTCTCTTGGCTTCACACGATGTTAACTGATGGACTGGAGTGCTGTGGATTATTGTGATGTTTTTATCAGCTGTTTGAAATCTCATTCTGACGGCACCCATTCACTGCAATTCAGGTCCTGAAAACAGGAGTTCATTCTAGTACCTTGGGCACTTTAATGTAAAGTGTCACATGCATGAGTGTTTTTGTGGGTGTTCTGTGTCAGAAACAGTTTTCTGACTTCTCTGTAAAGTTCACACAGTCAGGTCCTGCAGGAAAGCGTTTGAACGTTTGTGATGTGGCTGTGGTTCTGACCAGAGTTTGCCTTCGTCCAGCTGTGTTTGTGTGTTCTCTCACATCTGGATGTCATGAGTGATGCTTTAGACGTGATGTTGGCATTCAGGTTCAACTGGAACGGTCACTTCAGCGTGCTGCTGGTCATTCTGCGTCTTAAATGTTTTGCGGTGAAAGTTTTCTCTTTCTCTATCTGTCTGTGAAGTGTTGCAGAAATGTTGCTGGTTTAGTTCCTCTCTTTGTTGTGCATCAGTATATCTGTGTTTCTCTCTCTTGTGGTGTTTCCTGTTTGCTTTCATTCTCTCTTTGAGCTTTGCCTTTCGTTTGGGCTGAGGAGGTTTTCTGATGTTTAAAGATTTTCACTGTGCTTTTTATCAGGGGTTTTTCCCCCAAACTCTGCTGTATTTTTTTTCCTAAATTCTTTTTCTGTTTTAACTTTTCTGGATTACATTTTTTTTTTTTTCATTTCAAATTTTCTGAATTCTGCTTTAATGGTTACATTAAATTTTAGTAATCAAAAAGCATGTCTAATTAATTAATCATTTAACTTTTTTTAACAACAATGTATTGAAACGATTTAACAACAATTTATTGAAAGCTTAACAAAAAGTACATTTATACGGCCTTATGAAATTTTCCCAAATTCTCTTATTTTTTTCCTTATCAGTTTTTCAGTTTTAATTTTTCTAGATTATTTTTTTATTTACATTTTTTTGGATTCTTTTTAAGTGGTTACATTAAATCATAATCAGAAAGAATCACAAAAACACAATTTTAAGACCTGTGAAATCCTTTTTTTTTTAACAAATTCTGTAAATGTTTTTTCCAAATTCTTTTTATTCCATTTAAATGTTTCTAGATTATGAATTCTACAATTTATCAAAATGTAAATTTTTAAGGCCACATGAAATCCATTTTATATCATTTTTTCCCCCAAAACTCCATGTTATTTTTCCCAAGATCCATGTTTTCCATCATAATTTTTCTGGATTCTGTTTTAAATTAATAAAATGTTAATAATTGAAAAACGTATGTAATTAAGTGAGTTCTTAAAACTTGAACAATTTAATAATCATTACAATTTGTGAAATAATAATGCCCTATTTTTATTAATTTTTTTAATCTATTGTCTGCTTTATCTGGGTTTGATTTAATACCAATTTTTAAAATCAAAAACAGTGGTAATCAAATGAAGGCCTGAAACAATAACAATTATAAATACTAAGAATATTTAAAAATACAACCAAATGAAAATGAACAATTTTGTTTATATAGCAAACAAAGTACTGCACAACATAGAGGCTTACTGTTAAAATTAAAACAGAGAAGAAAATTGTGATACTCCTTTAAAAAACAAAGTTATATACTTCAAATTAAATCAAACTTTTATTTCGATGGGTTGTCGTGAAGACCTTTGAGGTTCTGTGTATCTGATAATAGTTTTACATGCATACGTCATATTTAATTAGTCTTTTTGTGGTTTAATAATTATGATTCATTCTGCAGCTCTACTTTTAATTTAGGCCTGTTCATCCAAAATTTGCCAAAATCCATGACCGTTTAAATTCCATTTTTATTGTGCCACTAATAAGCATTTTAAACTTTCTTTGTTTAAATGTGACCCTGGAGCACAAAAGCAGTCATAAGCAGCACATGTATATTTGTAGCAATAGCCAAAAATACATTGTATGGGTCAAAATGATAGATTTTTCTTTTATGCCAAAAATCATTAGGATATTATGTTCCATGAAGATATTTTGTAAATTTCCTACCGTAAATATATCAAAACTTTGA